TTCTAAGCCAGTCAGTAGCAGTTGTTTTAAAATGCTTTAATACCAGTTGGTAATGCTTTGCTCTTGTATCGTTTTGTTTCAACATTGGTCTGATATCCGAATAAACAATTTGTGAATAAATATGTCTTGTTTTTGTCTTAAAACAGGGTTGTTGCTAGATCAAAAACGGTGGCCTGAAGTTATCAAGAATTATTTATATTATTCATTAAATTTCCCATTTATTGTATTTTATTAATGTCTACCCAAACCCTAAACCCAACCATACTGTAAAAATATTTATTATTGTTTTACAGTGTTACAAAAATGATGCTAAATTGATGGCGTAACTGTAGCTGTATCCTATTTAGGCTACACAAAACAGAAACATGATTAAAATACATAAAACCATGATTTCGAAGTCGGGATTCGAACCCAAAACATCATGCTAAACATAGAATCAATAAGCAAACCCACAGTGCTCTAAGCCATTTGAGACAGAGATAATTAGGAGACCTTGGCAGTCAAATTAGGATTCACCAGGTCTCGAAACGTTTCTAAGCTGATCGATGCTTTGAATCGCTTTAGTCACGTGACTAGGTGTTTCGAAACACTTTAGTCACGTGACTTGGGTGCTTCGGATCATGCTTCGGGCAGTGATTCGAAACACTTGCGCTTCGGGATCTCGACACTGTGTCAAAACATCAGTTTCACGTCAGCCATCCCTAGTTAAGAGCAGGCCAACGACGTTTCTGCTAAATCATAGGTATGTATGTCTTTTTTTTGTTGTCATCTAACGTTATATTATTTGATATGTTGGCTTTGATGTGCGCGTGTATCCTAATACGGAACTATTTGTTATAATTTAGCCGTGAGTTACTTGTTTCGTGCACTTGGTTTTGGCTATTTACATCAATAAAAGTTTAGAGTGAATGTATTTGAAACAAATAGCGATTTCAATCGAGTCATTTGCTTTAATAACTCACGATTAATACAATGAGTATCATATAACATACCAGATCAGGTATCAAAGTCAAATATAACATTATGTCCTGTTTATCTAGATTGCTGTCAGCATTGCGCACATCATAACCTTTTTTCCCTTCGAACCAGAGCCAGTGGAACAAACGGTGACGTGTTTAACTGTGTAATTTGTGTGAAAATCGTGTGATTTTTCATGTAATTCATTGCTTGATTTGTTAGCTCGACTAAATGTCTATCATATTCAGACCAACTTGCTTTAACAGTCAGCTAGCTTTTATTTACATAAAAAATATAAAGGGCTAAATATATATTTTTCTTTCTTTTTGCTCAAAAGGACTGAAATATTGACAATGACATAATTCAATGCAAGATTTCCTTGAGGAGGTGAGACTTGTTATCATCAGTGAAATTTGACGGTCATTCACCAGCAGATGCAAGAAACCTTTTCTCTTTGCCCAAAAGAAGTTGTTGAGATTTAGCCAGGAAGAAATTAGAGAGAGATAACCTGGACTTTAAGGAAGAGGTAAGTCACTATATTGCAATTGCTTTGGTTTCATTCAAGGTAGTAATGATAATGCTAAAAATAACAAACAACATTATTATTATAGGTAATTCAAAATACATCTGTATTCAGCATTTGAACATTTAAATATTTACATTTACATATATATATATATATATATATATATATATATATATATATATATATATATATATATATATATATATTATGTGTAAAAATTAATATGTATGTTTTTTTTGTATATTGTAGATCTGCACAGAGTTTTCTCAGATCTGTAATGTAGATCTCCTGAGACAGTTAATCGAGTGACTTGATAAATATATGGCACCTCTCCTGAAACTCTACAGAAAAGAAGGGATTCAATGGGTCCAGAGATGGATACAACTTTAAACAAGATGGATGAGCAGGTACTCATTAAGATTTTTTTTTTTCTTATACACCCGTCTGATGTTTTTAACATGTGCAACATATTTTGTCCTGTCAAGAATTTCATGCTCAGGTAATACAGTCTAATAAAACGTAATTGCAACAATTTAATTGTCCAGCCCTTTTGCATTAATTTTAATTGTGTCAAGTTGTGTTTTGATTGTGAGATGGAAGTAAGATAAATAACAGATGTTTCACTTGTTTTGAGTGACCATTTCAAATGAATACATTCAAAGAGGAAAATAGAAAATAATAGCTATAGTTTTTAACTCAAAGTAATTGTCACATGAAACTAAACATTTTTCTAAATTTGCCAACACAACCATTATCAAATTCCATTGTATGGAAACCACAAAATTCTTTTTTAAAAATAAAGCCATGTGTTTTTTCAACAGCATGAATAAAATACTATGCTCATTTAAATGTACTAAGTACATTTTTACTTACAAAACAATAAGATTGTAAAACACCCTTTGTAAATGACTTTCCTTTAGGTCACTGATATTGTCACCGATCGAGAAAGAGCAGCTCTTGAGGGATTGCCAATTTTTCTTCGTAAAAATTCTGCTTGCTTTCTCAAGATATGTCTGGTAAGTTACCCATTTTCATACCCTATTCTACATTTATTAGTCTGCTTGGTAACACTTATAATAGCTGCACGCTATAAATAATTTATTTAGTATTAGCGAATAGTTAATTTATTTTCTGTTAAGCATAACTCTACATGAAGTGCTCAATGATTGTATTTTTTTTAACTTTAATGATTCATTTGTATTACTAATTTAAGTATTGCATTATTTACAAACCAGTTATTTAAGAATAGTTGGTGTTTTTAAGATCATTCAGAATGCTTAAGTACACGATTAATAAACTATTCAAATTAACATTTAAATATCCTAATATTAAGGTATGTAATAATAGTTACTTTGTATGTTAGTATATGCTTTATGAGCTTAACTTCATCCAGTTGTGACCTAATCTAAAGTGAGGACTATTTATGCTTTATAAATCCCTTATGAATGACAATTAAAGGCTCAGTTATATTCTAAACAGGACAATAAACAACTTTCACAATTGAAACTGTATCAAATAAAAGTAAATCTTTGCAATTTTATGTAAAATAAAAGTTTAAAAAATTGCTAAATATTAAAAAGTTGTCAATATATTGTTCAATTATTATATATTATAGACTGTTCAAAGTGTTACTGTTTGTATGTACAAAAGTATTACATGTTTTTATTTTCTTTGCATAATAGTAATAACATTAATAAGTAGTAATTAATATTACACATCAATTAATTTTCCCATTACTTAATCTCCTATAAGGACACGGACCCTGAAGACCACAGCACCAGAGATTAAAGGATTGGAATGTTCACTGTGGTGGAAGATGATAATGGCACTTCTGCATCCCTGCAATATGTGATGAACCTCGCTAAAATCTTGGAGGAGGCCATAGTACTTCAGGATATCACACATCTGCCTGCAGCCTTCGCTTACTTGTTCAGCCTCTTGTATAGACTGAATATGGAACACCCAAAAGAACTCAAATATACTTTTTAAGTGATTCAGCATGTTTTATGGAGGTTGGTGGCACATGATCTGCGAGAGTTCAGTTCATTCATTCATTCATTTTCTTTTCGGCTTAGTCCCTTTATTAATCTGGGGTCGCCACAGCGCAATGAACTTGTTTTACGCAGCGTATGCCCTTCCGGCTGCAACCCATCTCTGGAAAACATCCATACACACTCATTCACACATACACTACGGACAATTTTAGCCTACCCAATTCACCTGTGCCACACGTCTTTGGACTGTGGGGGAAACCGGAGAACCCAAAGGAAACCCACGTGAACGCAGGGAGAACATTCAAACTCCACACAGTAACGGCAACTGACCCGTGACCACTTCCTAATGTGCCACTGTTTCAATGTTTTGAGGTCTTTTTTTGGACTTTATGTACTTTGTTGACAAAAGTGCAGTACACTTTAAAGACTGTATGAATGGAGTGGCTTTTAGGGTTTACTCTGATTAGATGATTGTATATTCACCTGGTTTGAGTGTTTAGACACACTAATAGCTTGGTTTTAGTAAGGTTGCCAGTTATTTTATGTTGAGGCAGTGTACAATCTTTTCAAATCTGGAAACATTCAGTACTAGTTGTGTACAAACTAGCCCAATGCTGAACACGGCTAATGTCAAATGCTGATTTTGTATGCAAATGTTTTGGATTGTGATTTGAACACAGTTAAAAATAAAAAAAAAAGTGAATTGACTATTCTTGTGTATTTAATTTGAATCCTAAAAATTAATAGTAAATGCATAATGAATCAGTTTGTTTTATTTTGTTCAGTAAACTAGAAAAATCTTGTTGGGTAAACATAATCATTTTTGTTCAGTAAACAAAAGATCGTGTTGAATAAACGTGAAAATTTTTGTTCAGCAAACAAAAGATCTTGTTGAGTAAACATGATAATATTTGTTCAGCAAACAAAAATATCTTGTTGGGTGAACATGACATTTTTTGTTCAGCAAACAAAAATATCCTGTTGGTTGAACATGATATTTTTTGTTCAGCAAACAAAAATATCCTGTTGGTTGAACATGATATTTTTTGTTCAGCAAACAAAAATATCCTGTTGGTTGAACATGATATTTTTTGTTCAGCAAACAAAAATGTCTTGTTGGGTTAACATGATATTTTTTGTTCAGCAAACAAAAATGTCTTGTTGAATGAACATGATATTTTTTGTTCAGCAAACAAAAATATCCTGTTGGTTGAACATGATATTTTTTGTTCAGCAAACAAAAATATCTTGTTGGGTGAACATGATACTTTTTGTTCAGAGAACTAAAGAATTCAACAAAATATTTTGAGTTCACTGGTCTTCAAACCCTGTTTGTTGAGTTAACTCAAAAAGCTATGTGTGATAGGTTGCCTAATTATTTTAAGTTTACTCAACTTTTTTTTTTTACAGTGAAGCTTGTGACTGAAGAGCAGATAAAACATGATGAACTCTACCATGGCCTTAATAAACAAGGTAATTATTCTGAATTTTAAAATGATTAAACACTGATAATTCCAGTAAATATGCGTAAATGTATTTTACAAAGACCATGTTAAACTTATTAAAATATTTAAACTGTTTTATTAACAGATCAGCGCTCTGACAACTATAAGTGGATTTACTACAACTTCAGTTTCTATTATACTTCATCTAAGAAGAAGAGCTGGGAGGACAGCAGACAAGACTGTCAACAGCGAAGAGCAGATCTGCTGACCATAAAGAGCCCAAAAGAAAATGTAAGAGACAAGTCAAAGATTTTGCTGGTTTGTACACATTGATGTAAAATGGTCTTAATTATTTATGTTTGTTTCAATTAGTGGTTTAGATCACTAGTTTAGTTTTACAGTTCCTTCTTACATTTGAGAAGTTTTGCTGAATCGTATTACTGTTCAATCATCACAGGAGTTTGTAAAGAAGCTGGCTGTCTCAGATTTTTGGATTGGTCTAAAAAAAATACAGGGTGTGTGGACATGGCCTGATGGAGGTTCAGTGGCAGATTGGTGAGAGAGCACTGAATCTTTAAAGTCTCTCTACCACTAAAATTATTTGAAGTCTACTGACAATAATGTCCTTATTGTTGTTTCAGGGTCAAGAGTTTTCAGTATTCGACTCAGCCACATTGTTACTGTGCTCTGATGAGTTCATCAGGTTGGAAAACTGCTTCATGTACTGATTCAAACTGCTGGATCTGCAAGAAAACTATTATTTAAAAATCCCTCAATACAAAAAATAAATATGAACATATACAGTGAGATAAATCCGTTGTTTTCTTGAAAGGCAGCAATTTTGCTCTTTATATTTCTAAATATCAAGGTATATCCAGGGGTGAGAATCATGCAGTCCAACGCTCTCTCACAAGTCGTAACTTTTTGATTTAGTTGCTAATTCGTATGAAATTGTACAATCTCAGTTGTACAATTCAGTATGTTTTGCGTGTCCCCCAATGATGGCTGGGTTTAGGGGTGGGGTTTGATGCCACGCTTCCTTTTAAAAAATGAACTGAACAAATTTGTCGGAATAAGCACTAAAGCAGCAAAAGGTAAAACAGTTACGTTGTCTGGTGAGATCAGGCTGGTATGTCACATTTGGGTGAAATGAGGATAAAAGGTCTTGATGAGCTCTATACTGTGAAAACAACAACAACAACAACAACAACAAAATTAAATTCTCAGTAATTTTATGGTTATTAATTTGAAACCAAAAGAATTAAAGTTGGCACAGAATCTGAATATACTGAAGGATAACAGTTCAGTACATGATAATGACATATCGAGAGCCTCAAACACCATTGTTTCCTCATTCTCGTGTAAATCATGTGAATGTAAAACCCCAGTAGAAAAACAGGCCAATCAAAGCAAAATACAGACTCTGACAAAACTCACATGATTAATATGCAGTCCCCAGGCTGTGTTTGATTCGCCACGATGTTTCCTGGTTAAATTGCTACAATTATATTTCCCCCCTTATTTTCCCCATGCCATATCAATTCAGCTCTTTAGTGAATTTAACTTTTTAGTGAAAAGACAGTATTAAACTTAATAAAACTCATCTGTTTACACAAAATTTGATATTAATTCTTGCTTGAATTTTTTGTCATATACATGAAACCCACAAAATACAGCTCTAAATATATCTCTGTCTGTTCCGTTTGTCAGGCATCAATATAATTTAGCCTATATTCCATCAACAACACATGACTCATGAGCAGTTACGTACAGATAGCTAACTCGCTCCAAATGTGAACCTCTTTTCCATTTCAGTTTGACAAGGCATTTATTCTGTTTGTTCAGATTTTGATTCATACAAAGTATGATTATCTGTATTTTCAGAGTACATCATGCTGTGTGATCATTAGTTGATGAGAGCTGATCCTTTTGTGTTCAAAATGAACCAAAAACATCTGGGGACAAGGTTTTAACACCGACAGTTGTGATTGTAAGACAGTCAGTACTTGTTTTAGTGGTTAGTACTTGTTTATTTAGGTTAGCAACAGTAACTAAGTGAAATGCCTTATAAATCAGTTAATTAGGAAGCCATTTGTGCAGCTTTCTGAACATCCTACACTAAACCAGCAGCAAAGACTCTGGGGGCAGAGCTGGTTTTAGTTTTACCATTTCCTGAATGTCACGTTTCATACATTGACCACTAAAGATACTAAAATTAGTTTCAAATTAGGTTAAAAGGCAGGCTGACTAAATGCCAAGATAACAGGATTAACGCACTGCTATGTACAACAACACTGAGAGATCAGAGATGATTGAAATGGACAGAGAAAGAGTGGAGACGACGTTGGATATTTATGAGAGCGCAGATACTGTGAGACGTCATGATCTGAAGACAAACACAGAGACACATCAGCTACTTCAGCACACAGGTACACACATCATTCAGCTCATACACTTCATATGGGGTGTAAAAACAAGCAGTTTGCAGCAGTTTGTAACTTCATTGTCGAAGGATTCTGTTGTCGTTTGCTTTCAGTTATTTTATTTGTGTTAAAAAACAATATCTTTTATTAAGGTGTTTTTTGCATTATCATAATCATCAGATTAATTTAGCTATAGCAGAAAATGAAGTGGACGTCTCAGACATTAACAGAACATCAATTACTTCTGCATCGCAAAATAAAAACAGAATTATTGAAGTGACTCTCACAGATTTCTCTGTTGTTTTTTGGTTTTATTTACATTTTATTCCAACAAGGTAAGATATTTTAATTTACTCTGTTTAGAGAGGATATCTGTGTGTTACAGATTATTGTTGTCAAAAGAGTGAATCAGAAGTGTGAAGAGTTGAAATATAGTTTTGTGTCCTTCTTCAGGAATCAACTCGGTGAAGAGCAGAAAGCAGAGAACAGATGAAGTGTGTTTGTGTTTGCTGTGTGCTCTTCTGCTGACGGCTGTTATAGTGCTCATCATCCAGAGAAAACACTTACTAACACACATCACTGAACTCAATGAAGAAAGAGAGAAGATACTGACTCACAACAATGACTTGACTGAAGAAAGAGAGCAGATACTGACACACATTAATAACCTGACTGAAGAAAGAGAGCAGATACTGAATCACAACAGCAACCTGAATGAAGAAAGAGAGAAGCTTCTTACAAACAACAAAAGACTAACAGCAGAGAAAGAAGATTTACAGATCAAGATCGAGATTGTGACTGAAGAGCAGATAAAACATGATGAACTCTACCATGGCCTTAATGAACAAGGTCATTATTCTTAATTTTAAAATGATTAAACACTGATAATTCCAGTAAATATGCGTAAATGTACTTCACAAAGACCATGTTAAACTTATTAAAATATTTAAACTGTTTTATTAACAGATCAGCGTTTACTACAACTTCAGTTTCTATTATATTTCATCTGAGAAGAAGAGCTGGGAGGACAGCAGACAAGACTGTCAAATGAGAAGAGCAGATCTGCTGACCATAAAGAGCCCAAAAGAAAATGTAAAAGACAAGTCAAAGATTTTGCTGGTTTGTACACATTGATGTAAAATGGTCTTATTTATTTATGTTTGTTTGAATTAGTGGTTTAGATCATTAGTTTAGTTTTACATTTCCTTCTTACATTTGAGAAGTTTTGCTGAATCGTATTACTGTTCAATCATCAGGAGTTTGTAAAGAAGCTGACTGTCTCAGATTTTTGGATTGGTCTAAAAAAAATACAGAATGTGTGGACATGGGCTGATGGAGGTTCAGTGGCAGATTGGTGGGAGAGCACTGAATTGAACTGATCTTTAAAGTCTCTCTACCACTAAAATTATTTGAAGTCTACTGACAATAATGTCCTTTTTGTTGTTTCAGGTTCAAAAGTTTTCAGTCTTCGACACATCGTTACTGTGCTCTGATGAGTTCATCAGGTTGGAAAACTGCTTCATGTACTGATTCAAACTGCTGGATCTGCAAGAAAACTATTATTTCAAAATCCCTCAATACATAAAATAAATATGAACATATACAGTGAGATAAATCCGTTGTTTTCTTGAAAGGCAGCAATTTTGCTCTTTAAATTTCTAAATATCATGGTATATCAAGGGGTGAGAATCATGCAAGTCGTAACTTTTTTGCTAATTCGCATGAAATCGTACAATCTCAGTTGTACAATTCATTATTTGCTTGTCCCCCAATGATGGCTAGGTTTAGGGGTGGATTATTTAAAAAATCCCTCATTACATTAAATAAATAAGAACATATACAGTGAGATTGTTTTTAGTGAGATTGTTTCAAAAACCATTGTTTTCTTGAAAAGCAGCAGTTTTGATTCATATATTTGTATTTATAACTATATCAAGGTATATCTAGGCGTGAGAACCATGCAACATAGGCTCATTCTGAAAAACGTAGCCCTATATACATTTCTGGAGATTGCGAATTATGTAGCCAGAAGTACATATGGCTGCATTTAGTTTTTAAAAGAAATGCTAAGGAGCGGTAGGTATGCAGCTGTTCCTTTTTGCGCTTACCAGCTGAACGCTTACTTTGTGTGCACAGCTTTCCCGCTGGTACCAGTTATTCAAGAGGAATCTGGGCCATTGCTAGCCTTCCTCCAAAGATCTTCTAGAATTAAAGGGCCTTTCTTCCCCTATCTGTGTAAAGATCTTAAACAATTCATAATGTTGAAAATGGCTTTGGAGAATTTTTTATCAAGTGATGAAACGGAGCAGAATAAATTCCATATTCTTTTAGACAAATTAATATTGGACTTCACATGTAACTTGGCTTTGGCTTATTTTAATCATCCTTTGCCATTTAGTACAACATGGGCAGCCTTCCAGCAGAAATATGGTCAGCCCCATCAACTTGTTCTGAGGGAAATTGCGGAGATCATGAGCCTGCCAGCCATTAAAACTGGCGATTCTCAAGCTTTCAGTGCTTTGGCTTGTGCTTTTCATGTGCAACAACTTTTGAGTAAACTCCCACCTGAACAAGTTGCTAATAATATCCGACATAGTAGACTCAATCGACCAGGACAATCTTATGATTTGGTGGACTTTTCTGCATGGCTCCAAGTGTCAGCTAAAGGCTGATTTATACTTCTGCGTCAAACGCTGGCGTATGCTACGGCGCTGACGCATAGACCTTCGCCGTGGCCGTCGGCGTCGCTGACGTTCACCTCTCAAAAAATGTAACTACACGTCGCAACGACACGTAGCGCAAGCTCTGTGATTGGTCGGCTTGGTAGCGCTGACGAGTCTGGGCAAGTCACTTAACGCAGAAATATAAACCAGGCTTAATTGTCAAGCAGTAGTGGGAAAAGTTGGTGCTGTACGTAGTAAATTTATTGACAACCACCAGAAGGAGAGGAAACCAATAAGGCCACATCAACCAACTGCAACTATTATTCATGGAGTAAGCAGTGTACCAATAGTAAGAGCCAACGGTTCTTTTAAACCTACTAGAGCAGGGGTGGGCAAACTCTGTCCTGGAGGGCCGGTGTCCTGCATAGTTTAGCTGTAACACTAATGAAACACACCTGAACATGCTAATCAGTGTCTTCAAGATCACTAGAAATCTATAAGCTTGTGTGTGTGATTAGAGTTGGAGCTAAACTCAGCAGGACACCAGCCCTCCAGAACCGAGTTTGCCCACCCCTGTACTAGAGCCTTCAGTATCAAAGAAGGAAGCGAGTTTTTGAAGTACCATTGTCCATTTTGTAAGAGTGATGACCAGAGCTTGAGATTAACTGTTTTGATTACCAGCCACTATGGCTAGTAGATTTCCAACATTACTAGCCAATCGCTATTTTCAATAGCCACGAATTTCTTGTTGTGAAATATATATTTTTTTTATCCACATGATATTTCATTTATCTTGTTGTCTATATCTAACGACATATTCCCCGACTTTGGTCATTGGAATCTATTACTTGTTCTCAGGTAACGTGTTTTGGCTAAGCGCAAAGATAAGTTAATGATTAATGTAACCACGTAGCCTATATTCTGTATATTGACTGATTGCTTGCCTTTATTTCCTATAATGTATAAACTTATTGTATGTTATACTTTTACAATGGCCATTATCGATGATTAAAACTGATATTCAGCAAAAGAGAGGGTATGTTTCGTATTTTCACTGACATTGAAAGGAGGCATATGTTATAGGCTCCGTTTTGTTATAAATATCCACACAGTGAAGATGATGCTCATATGCAGCACGACGCCTCAACATTTCTGCTGTCTGTTAAGTTGCTAATATTAAAATGAAAATAGGCAGTTCCTTATATCATGTTTACATTTTATTGTTGAGAAAGTGAAACAACGTAGCCAGTGTGATGTGAATGAAGTTATAAAGTACACTGTTCCCTTTAAAGATTTACCCGTGTCCTCTGTAGTCTGTTTTCCATATCAGACTGAGGAGGGGGAGACTGCAGCCTTGATCAAACTTGCAAAATCTGAACTTACAAGGAGAGGACGCAGGACTGAACTGTGTGTAACGTTAGGCTACTTAATATTGAGGAAAAGCCCCAATCAGAGAGGCGAATGTCGGCAGCCCTGCCTCCGTTTTTAGATGTCTCTGTTTTCCCCCATCCAGACTGAGACGGAGCAGCAGCGTTTTCGAAGCACTCCGTTTTCTGCGCTCGAAAACTCCGGCGTAGTGTGGACAGTTGCCGTAACCGAAGCAAAACTTTTGCGTTTTCAAACTAAAACGCGTTAGTGTAAAC